ATAGAAGAAAAACGATAAGAAAAATGATCAAAATAAAAAATGAGGGACAGAGAGAGAGAGAGAGAGAGAGAGAGAGAGAGAGAAGGAGGGAAAGTTTTGAAACGGCGGCACGTTGAGTCAACCGTAGAAAAAGAGAGAAAAAGAGAGACAGAGAGAGAGCCGATGCCTGCGGCTAACGGGACAATTAACCCCGGTCGTAGAGTAATTAGATGATCGAGTTAACTCCAAAGCCCGGGTTAGCGCCGGTCGGACCGAGATTCGCGGTCTGTCTCGTCTCTTCCTTCGCTAATTTCCCTCGCTAAGTTACGATCGCTCGTGTGTTAACCGAAATAAGTGTATTTCGAAAATAGCGAGTAATGTATAGCGAGGTTCAACGACACGTCAGGAAAAAAGGAGAAAAAAGAATGAAAAATGAAAGGGGATGGGAAAGAATCGTCTCGTTGGCTAGGAACGATCGGCACCTTCGAACGGGCCGAGTCGTTCGACGGAAAGGAGCCGAACGCTTCGAATTCTTCTTCGTCCTCTTCTTCTTCGAGCATGAAGAAGCGTTCGTGTGTCCATGTATAGTCCATGTGTGTGTAGAATGCGTATAGAAGTTGGAAGGAACATCGAGCCCGGAGAAACGTGGTACTGGTATAGGAAAGTCGGTATATACAGGGTGAGTCGATAACTATTGCCAGATGAATGAACTTTTTATTTCCTTTTACTTTTTTTTTTTTTTTTTTAATTTTAACATGAATTAACTTAAAAAAAAAAATGTTCAATAAGAAAGTTTTAACGGTTTCTCCTGTCTATTACACGAAATGCTTTAGAATTTTTTCTTCTTTTTCTTTTTTCTTAAAATAAGTAAACAAAAATTCCTTCCACAAATATAGTTATTGACTCATCCTATATATGCATCTACACACTCATATATGTAGAGAAACGTGCAAACTAGGTGTACATACGTATGTATGCGGAGATACTTACATGCATTCGTTGGGTCGACTGCAGTGTCCGTGCTGCTCGTCGCATCCGGGCAGGCAGCGGGCTGAAAGGAGTAAGAAAAAATCCAAAAGGTTAAGGCAACGCTCCGCGAGAGGTCGATCGCGTCCCTCACGACTGCACGAGCGATACGTACAACTCTACGATATATACGATGCATATACACACGCGTATGGTAGTCACCGGAGAGTTGGATAATTTACGATGGAACGGAATGTTGAAGAAGAGAATTGAAATCTTTCGATTGTTCAGTCTTGTTTCTTTTAAAGAGTCGACATTATTAGACGTTAAATGTTCTATCAGCCATAAAGTATCTGAGCCATAAAAGATCAGCGAAATAAGATCCTAATCGATCGTACTCTTTTTAAAGAACTGGAACGAACACTCCTAAAGATATGTATACATTGAATGGGCTAACCGCAAATGTTTGCGGAATTGTGAGTGGTTGGCAGTGACTACTTCGATTACGCGAGTTCCGTATTTGCGTGCACGTTCCCTCCTCGATCGGGGTCATCCATCTTAAGAAAACGGCTCGGAAGGGTTGAAGGTAGGTGAGTCGATGATCGGAGACAGGGCCACCGAGTTCCGTAACCTTGGCACCGAGTAAAACGCCAAGATAGAACTATTCGGCGAAGCTCGAGCAAAATAAACAACGAGTCGAAGCGCCATGATGGAACACGGTATTGTATTTATAGAACCAACGAGGTACCCGGGGTCCGATTTTGAGAAGCGTTGAATCAGTGCTTCCGAGTGAAAGAAAATCGAGAAAAACAGATACCAGTTTTTTTTTTTCTTTCATCGAACTACCTGCCGAGAGGGTACTTATTGTATATCTTGCACACCTTGCTCGTTGGGAACTTGCCGAATGCGGAAAGACCTGAAAAGTTGTGCAGGTAGATGAAGATAATAAAGAGACGGAGAAAGACTTTGGAAAAATATCGTCGCCCAAAGAGGAAGGACGCAGGACGAGGTCGTGGTATGGGGATCGAAGAAGAAGAGTAATAAAGAGAGAGAGGGAGAGACAGAGAGAGAGAGAGAGAGAGAGAGAGAGAGAAGAGGAGCAAAGGGAGGAGGTTGCCAATGGAAATGGACTGTGAACGTGAGTTTGGTGCAGCTGTTGGTTAAAGCACCGACCTTCGCAGCAGCTGTCAGGCCCACTCGCGCATGGCCTCGCGTTGCAGCTGCCTTTATTCCCCGCAATCCCCATGTAACGTCGTAGTACCCCCGAAAGAGACCGTCTGCAGTGCCGAAAGCTATCTTCGTGGTGCAAGCTCGAACTACTACTAGTCACCCCTACCCTTTCTAACTCCCTTTCTATATCTCGTTAACCCCTTGTGCACAGACGCTTCCCCGAACGAGAAACGTAGCTGTTACGACGATAAGTCGAAAGGGGAAAATAACTCACGTGCACCTCAGCTGCTCTTGTGTCTCTTCTCTTTAGTATTGAGTTAGAACGATGAACGAGTTTATGATGGCTCGTGCGCGAACAAGCTCTTTTCTCTGGCTCGTAAGCACGCTTTCCTTCGATCATGAAACTACAGAAGGAGGATTGATGATTTTATACATCGAGGAGCACCTCTAGCTAGCAAGTGAAAGTTCGATGTTCTGGTATAATGCGTTCCGAAAGAACGCGTCTTGCCACTTTTCGTTCGACATTCTTCGAAATTCTTTTCGCGAATGTGCTTCATAAAAGGGGAAAGTGGACTCTAGAATTTAACATGTCTTCTCTAACGAGTCTTTCTTTACAATAAATTATTATATTTTTATTTATTTATTTTTTTTTCATTTTTCCTTTCTTTTTCTTAACGAATCGATATTATTTGATCGTTATTTTATTTCTCACGTCGATCGAGGAGACTTTCAAAGAATCTTAGAACCAAAGAGTTCAATCGTGTTATCGAGATCTCGTGTATAGGTACGCGTGCGCCTGTGTGAGTATGTATCTATGTATTCTCTCTTTCTCGAGATTGAGAGAGAAAGAGATAGAGAGAAAGAGAGAGAGAGAGAGTGAGAGAGAGAGAAAAGGAGAGAGTGAGAGAGAGAGACGTGAGAAAAGATCGGCCGATCGCAGCACAAGAAGTGCGTGACAAAAGCGAGACGCGCCTTCCGATTCTTGAAAGTTCCGATTCGCGAAACCGAGCACGAACTCATGATTCCTCGAATGCCGGGGAATGTAACGAAACGAAGAGAGTAAGTAGTCTATTAGTAATCAATGCGCAAACTTTGCCGACCGGTCGACTCGTGCTCTCCTCGAGAAGAAAAGGGTGCAACGACCGATAGCCAACGTTCACGATCGGAGACCTTTCTTCAGCTTGACTTAGCTATCAAGGGTGAGATCGAAGTAGCCTCGCGTTTTTGGATTCCGCCTTGGCACTTGGCTACCAACGGCTGGTCTCCAGCCTCGAGGAACAACCTCGAAAACGAGATTGCGTTCCGCCTCGATGATCCCTCGTGATATGAGATACCTATTCGTTCTTATAACTCAATGTTCTCTACGTAACCGTTACACTAGAACGAGCCCAATACGGTCATACATACGTGTATGAGCTGAATAAACAGTAAAAAAGAACAGGTTGCTGCGTACGAAATAAGATGGAGACTTTGAGAAAATTACAAGGTCGTAATGGAACTGAAAGAATCGTCGAATCCTCCTATCAGATTTCGAATTCGAGTTAAAGCTCTGTCGTAAAAGAACATATTTGGAACCAGGTGAGAAATATTTTTCGGAGAAAAAGGAATCCACCATCAAAAGGTATGCCTAATACGACTGGCAACGCTGAATACAGCGCATCTCTTTCGGCGGCCAATTCTTAAGGAACTCTGACGTGTATATGTGTGTATGAGAGAGAAAGAGAGAGAAAGGTCGGAGCGCGTGCATGTGCAAGGATCGGATCAGAGCGGGGGCGGGGGCGAGGGCTGCACGCCTTCGTCGTACGCTCTCGACGGGAGGCTCAGGTACGCGAGTGAGCGGGAGAGCAACAAAGAGGATGCCGAGACGGAGGAGAGAGACAGAGAGAGAGGGAAAGAGAGAGAGAGAGAAAGAGAGAGACCAGACCAGAGAGAGTCTCGCGTACACGCGCTAGCCAAGCGTGGGAAGCTGCTGCACGTTCTCGAGCAGCTCGCTGCACCGACGTTGCACCGGCGTTGCACCGGTGCGCCGACACACCGAGTCGTGCCGATGCCGTAGCCGTAGAATCTCGCCGACATCGCCGAGTTTGGTCTCTCGCGGTCTAAGCCGTCAGCGCACAGCTTCGCTTTCGGATTCGTTCGAACGTGACAAGATCGAGAAAATAAAGGAAGAGGAGGAGATTTCATTTCGTGAATCTCCGCCTAGACGAACCAAGATCAACTGGTGGGCCTCGTTACGAGTACCATCGGTTACTCTTACTTTCAAACGCGGAACGCAGTTTAGTATGGCGTTGCGTAAGCGGCGAACAAAACGAACCGCATACGATTTGCATTTTATCGCGGTAGGAACGATCGAAGGAAAAAAAAAAAAAGAGAGAGAAATACAAAAAGAATGAAGGTTGCGCCAGTCGCGTGCAGTCGTGATGGGAGAGATACGAATAAAGTCAGATGACGAGTAGTATGATAGACTTACGAGTAGCACAGTAGTCGCCCTTCCATCCCGAAAGACAGACACGTTCACCGGTAGGGCTGCAACTATAATGACCGAAGTTATCGTCTCTAGGTCTGCAAAGATTTTCACATCCTTTTCCATAATAATGCGCTGCACACGTCACTCTATACTCGTAAACCATTCGTGAATGGGCACTCCTATGTTCTTCCTCTATCCATTCTGGGCCCACGTCCAGCCACTTTTGTGTAGTCAGCCTGGTGATCAGTACCTTTTCTGCAAAATACATAGATATCGATTAATGATAAAAGAGGAACCTTTAACTTCCTTTTAACATGTTTATGTTTGGGTATTATTAGGTACAAATTAACGACGAGTTTTGGCGATGTACGGTAGAATGTATGAAAGAGAGAAAAACAGAGAGAGAGAGAGAGAGAGAGAGAGACAGACAGAGAGAAAGCGAAAGAGAGAAGAGGTAATTAGCCGTGCGGAGCCCAAGCAGGGGCAGAGAGACGACCAATGATGCGTTCCAAGTGTACCGGCCCTTCGAGAGAGAAAAAGACGAGTAGTAACGTGAGTGAGGGGCGTGATGAAGAGAAAGAGAGGAGAGGCCGGACGTTCGTCCGCTATTGCTACTCTGCTGGCGGTGCGCATCCGGCACAAAGAGAGTAAGCGTATACCACAGTGAGAGAGAGAGAGAGAGAGAGAGAGAGTGAGAGTGAGTGAGCGAGTGAGTAAGAGAGAAAAAGAGAGAGAGAGAGAACATTGTGGCTCTTTGGCTCTCTGCCTCTGGGAAAGAGGCGTTCTTCGTCCTTCTCTCTTCACTCTTCCTCTTCCTCCCACTTGGTTACCTGTTTTCTGCGTGCAAAAGGAAAGAAGGAGAAGAAACGGGCCCCGCGTATAACCTTCCGTCTAAACGTATTATCATAATAGCCACGTAGATTAGGATGGTTCGATCAGGTGCACCATCATCGAAAAAAGTCTTGTCTCACGGCAGCAGATCTTGCGGGGGCCAGGGATTACTACTACTACTACTATCACCAATACTAACTACCGCTACTACTACCACCACTAACAACAATACGAGAACAAGAACCTAGCAAGAAGTAGCCAGCTGGCTGGCTTCGTTGATTCTCATCGATCTTCGATGATATAGAGAAAGAGAGAGAAAGAGAGGGGAGGGGGAATCGTTCCGTAACACTAAATGTAATAGTACTGTAAGAGACCCGAGGCAGATCGATCTTTTGGCTACGCCACTGAAGGTAGCTAAAACCCAACAAAAGAACAAACACTTTGCCCGATGGCGTGTCCTGGGATAGTTAAAGGAGGAAACCGGCCTTCCTTCTCAGAAGGAAAGTAGCATTTCGTTGCCGGCGAAACGGGAGTCAGGGAAGCAGTTTACTGGCCCATCTCCTCTTCCCAGGTGATGTTCTTACGAGTTCCGAAAACATCGATGGGATCCAACAACATCGTCTGCTACCATTATTACGTACACTATATGTATATATTTACAAATTTGTTTATTGTTTTTCGATCGTCAAGTACACTTACGTTAGTAAACACTCGATCAATACTTTGACAACGATTGTAATTCTAAACAGAAATACATCGAAAAGATAAATAACTCAATGTGTATTAACACCATTGATCGCTTTTACAATGAAGGAAGCAAAATTTCTATTGTCGTAGCTACTGTTTCTTGTATCTTTTACAACTTGGACCATTGACCGCGAGGATGTATACACACAGTGTATACGCCGCTCGTAAACACCCGGTGAGCTCGAGGCCAGTCCGATTCAAAGTATTCATTAACGACGGCAGAGTGCCGTGAGTAGCCGGAATTTTCTATTGTTCATTCAGAAACGGCCGATTGCCGAAGCATAGCCCGAAGCTGGCAGGTAGTCAGTAGTAGCATTACTTCTACATCCTTTAACGAGCTTATCTTTAGTTAAACAATGATGCAATAGAGACTATTTAACCGTTACAGTTTCATCTTTTAGACCCAAATTTATTCTACAACCTGTTGTCAAAGTACATTGAATTGAATTAGAAGGTTGGGCGATTGCTGCTTATGTTATCTTGATGTACCATAAAAAAAAAAAAAAGAAAAAGCTATTGATAGAAGAACGTAGTAGAAACGATCGATTAAACTTCTCGTTTTGGTTAGATCTTTTCGAGAGTCGAGTGCATCGTGAGTGTTGGAACGACTTGCATATCACCGCAACTGTCTCCTCATCGAAACTGAACGAGGAGAGAGAGAGAGAGAGACAGAGAGACAGAGACAGAGAGGGTCGATGATCGACGATGACGTAAGCCTTGTGAGTGTCGACAAAGCGACTCTCTGCTTGTATATTTACGGGTTATAAGGATATCACTATAGTTTCCAATCGTGGAAAGGAAGATTAGATAATTTTAAGTTCCTAATAGCTATTTTATATTTCTAAACTCACCTACAATTTTTACAGCTACGCTAAATAAGGATGCGATTATTTGTGTGAGATTTTGTAGCCTCTCGAAAAGCGAGTATATAGTGTATGTGTGTATGTGTGTTTGTATTCGTTTATATATGTGCAAGAGATAGAGAGAGAGAGAGAGAGAGGGAGAGAAAAGTGGAGGAGGGAAGAGAGAAGAGTAGACAGAGGGTGAGAAGGGGTGTGAGCCTGAGAAAGGAAGCAGCATCCGAGCAGCGCACGGCAATAAAGGGTTCGCTTCGCCTCCGCGTTGTGGGTATTATATTATGCTCGAGGCACACTAGACAGAGAGAGAGAGAGAGATAGAGAGAGAGAGAGAGAGAGAGAGAGAGAGAGAGAGTTTGAGAGAGAGAAAGAGAGTACCATCGACAAAACGGTATACGATTTAATATCTTGGTGATAAAGATCAGAAATCCAAACGATCTTCGTACAAAATGAAAAATAGAAAAAGCACTAACTTCCACTTTCTATTTCCTAAATTATTCTAAACATATACTTATTTATTCGATCATTGACGAATTTCTATCACATCCTATTTATCCATTGTCAACTGTTTTCATTGAAAAAACAAAAGAAAAAAAGAAAAAGAAAAATTTAAAGATAAAATATGAAATCTATATCATTATTTTTGTTAAATTCTTATTATTCTTATTTACTGTCTCAAGAAATAATCGTAATGGGAATTAACACAGTGGATATCTCCGTTTCATTCACTCGTCCGTACCTCCCCTCTTTGTATTCGAATTCATTCATATATACACACGGGCCCGTTCATTCATCCGTCCGTTCATAGAAAATCTACACGGTCGCGAGGGCGGAAATAAAGGGCGAGTAGTCCTCCATTAATATCTCATCGACGTCGTGTTTGTCTGGTAACACGCGTAAAATAAGTAAAAAGAGTGAAATGTTATTAAGGATATATTCTCATGTCGGTTCGTACATAGTTAGACACGAAGGACTCGTTTCTCATCTTGAATATACCAACGGCATACGAGAATGTTCACTCTCAGGACCGGGCTTAAAAACGGAATAAGAAGAGCGCGACCACTTAATTTCTTCCTCGAGGTCCTACCGTCGGTAATTAGAATCTACCGGTGCGGGCGGCGAGAGCGGAAGTTACACGCGGCCGCGCGGTGCTCTCATGCGCGACACGTACACATACACAACACATACATACACATATATGTTTATGTATATATATATATATATATATATATATACATAAACATAGACACATACGCACATATGCGTATGAATACGTGTACACGCGTATACGAAGAGAATCAACGGTTTTTAGATTCTCAGTTTCTTTCCCTCTCTCTCTCTCTCTCTCTCTTTTTCTCTCTCTTTCTTTCATTATTTCTTCTTTTTTTATTTTTATTTACAATGACATCAGAACGACGATGATCAATCAATTAAATAAATTCGATCGTTCTACTTTCCTTTTCTTTTTTTTTTTTGTATCATTTTCTTCTTTCTCTTTTAAGAAAAAATTCAAAACGTCGAGCACGAAAAGTACAGAGATAATTTAAGCGTGTTTGCGAGTGCGTGTAATACAACGACGTGCATTCTAACGTATAAGTCTACGAAGGGTATCGCGTTACTCGCGCGAACCACGAGTAGTGGAAGGTGGCTGCTACGATTACACAGGAAGGAAACACTAGTGTCTATGGACGTCCTCCTCTCCAACTCCTCTTTCATCCTCCGCGCATATTGCAAGAGGACGAGGATTCATCGAGATGTACTTTGTGCGTGCGCACGTGGATGTGTTGCGGTAACAATCGCCTCGCTGAGATGGCGAATATAAATGAAAACAGGTCATAGAAGCATTAACCGAGGAACGCTATGTAAGCGTGGAAGAGAGTATAAATTATTTTTCCAAAGTCACTGAACGGAAGCAAACAAAAAAGAATGAAAAAAAGAAGAACAGAAAAATGAAAAAAAGTGTGTGGATATGTGTGCGTATGTATGTATGTGTGTGCGACGGGAGGGGGGAGAGAGAGAGAGAGAGAGAGAGAGAGAGAGAGAGAGAGAGAGAGAGAGAGATAGGAAGATAGAGAGAGAAAGAAAAGAGGAAGAGGTCTGGCTCATTTTCCGTGCGTTCGATGACGAAAAGCACGGACTAGTCGAGTAAAGGCAGAAGAGTCGAGGGTTGTTGCTGGGAAAAGAGATCCGAGGTTACGTCTCTGGTGAATGTCGTGACAAGGCCGGAAGTCGCTTCTCGACTAGTTCGGACACGATGCAAGACACATCGAGATTCAGGAGGGCAGCTGGACCGCACATGCCCGCGTCTTTTTCTCTTCCTCTTTCTTTCCCTTTCTCTTTCTCTCTCTCTCTCTTTCTATCTATCTATCGTCAAGAACTCTGCCAGGCAGGCAGAAGCGTGTGTCACGCATCAAGGGCTCGTGCGTCGTCGGACGACTAATTTTATGATAATCCTTTTCTCTCTTGTCTCTTATATTTTTTCTCTCTTTTTTTGTTTTTGGTTTTTTTTTTCTTTTTTTTTTTCTCCTTGTTTTCTTTCTTTCTTTTTTTTTTTTGTGAACCATCCATAGGCACACGCAAGCTCACTTTTGAATACCCCTTAATTAATTACCCCTTTCTCTAATTAACACCGTGTGATACGTGAATGTTAATAATGATAAGAGAAAAGAAAGATTACTCACCGGGTGAATGATGAGTTGTATTGTTTGAATCGTGATAGGCCTCGACGATCAAGGAAAACGTGCCCTGCAAAAATAAAGAAGAAATTAATTTAATTTGTTCAATTATTTATGATACGTATAAAACAGTGTTAAGTTTCTTTTTTATTGCGACATTTAAAATGTCCATGTCGATCGTAATGCTTGTAATAAAATAGAAAAGAACATAGCGAGACATATAATATTTATCGCGTTTTTCTGATTTTGAGAGAAAATAAGAAAAAAGAGAATAATAAATAAATAAATAAATAAAAACGTCGAGATTGATAATCATTTTCCCCTGCATTTGACTATCGTCGGAGAGTAATCATTCGACGTACATAGGCGCGAGTGCTGCGCATTCATAAATCTGTTTACGATCGGTAGTGTATGGCGTGTAACGATGCCGTGGAGAGTAACATACGACGGTACATATTGTGTAACGAGTACGTGCACTACACGTACGACTACTCTGCTACGTGCATGGTGATAATACGACGTTTAATTATTAACGTCACACGTATGAAAAGAGAGAGAGAGAGAGGGAGAGGGAGAGAGTGTGAGAGAGAGAGAGAGAGAGACGTTGGTATTATACACGACCTCGTTAGTCGCTGCCGCACGTTGAATAATAAATGTTTATATCCGGCCGACGTCGCGTAAACGAGCTGCTTTCATCCCCTTTGATAATAGTGAGCCCTGTGATAATACACATTATGCACGAAGTATTAAAGCGACGAAAGATAAGAGAGAGAGAGAAAGAGAGAAAGAGAGAGAGAGAGAGAGAGAGAGAGAGAGAGAGAGAAATAAATAAACAAAAGAAAAAAGAAAAAGAAGAAGAAAAGGAAAGCAAGAAAGAAGAATGAAACCGTTTCCGAATAATTTCCTTTGCTAATTAATATTATGAGTACGATATGAATTAATCGTAAAATCCAAAACAATCACAAAAAAAAAAGGGTAAAGGGGTGGTTGAGTGGAGGAACTAGAAACGGTCCATATTGAAAAGCATCTCGGCGCTCTATTAAGCGATTCTTACCACGCGGATTAAATTACAGTAATTCAGTCCCACCTTATTCTACTCTACTGTTTGATCGTTCGAGCGTCACCGGCTATATTCTTTAACAGTGCGATTTGTCTTTGGCACCGACTACTCGTGTAGAGAGGAAAAGAGAGAGAGAGAGAGAGAGAAAGAGAGACAGAGGGAGAGATGCCCGATCCGCAAAAAGATTCCGTTAGCGTACCGGCAGAATCTCAACTATTCTGAGATTCTTCGCGAAAGTGGATGGAAAGGGAAAGAAGAGAGGAGAAGAGGAGAGGAAAAGAAAAGAAAAGAAAAGAGAAGAAAAGAGGAGAGAGAGAGAGAGAGAAAGAGAGAGAGAGAGAGATAGAGAGACAGACAGAAAGAGAGAAGGAGCAGAACGCCCTTTTCTCTCGTGACAAGGACGAGGGGGTAGGTAGGAAGAGAGGTAAACGTCGCCGATAGGGAAGGAAATAAATTGTCAAGGAGACAAATGCCACCATGATCGCCCGTTAATTTATTACGTAGATCGAAATTATGCCGGCAAAAAAGCTGAAAAAGCTCGGCTTGGTATTCGGAGAACAATGTGCGTTCGTTGGGTGTGTGTTTCGGGGTCCGGTTAGCGGAGGAGAACTCTTCGCGACCAAAGTTGAGAAGAGAGAAGCTATGGAACCGGAGGAAGAAAGAAAAATGAGAAAGGCAAGCGAAGGATAGAGAGAGAGTGTGAGAGAGAGAGAAAGAAAGAGAGAGAGAGAGGGGAGGTGGGAGAGGGGAAGGTAGCGAGATAGGCGCAAGATGAAAAGAGGAAGAAGAGAACGGTGCTTCGCCGACTCGAACTCGAGAGAAGGAGAAAGAAAGAGAAAGAAAGATATATAGATAGATAGATAGAGAGAGGAGAGAGAGAGAGAGAGAGAGAGAAAGAGAGAGAGAGACGGAAACAGGTGAACACCAGTGGTGGGAGCAAGACGTAGAGAGTGAGTAAGAACGAGCGAGCGAGCGAGCGAGCGAGCGAGAAAAAGAGAGAGAGAGAGAGAGAAAGAAAGAGAGAGAGAGGGCGAGAGAGCTCGTTCACTCGGGAGTCTGTTCCCACGGCTGCGCGGCATACCTCCACCTTCTCTCGCCTCTCTTTTCCCTCTTCTCTGTACTCTCCTTGAGGTAGTAGCAGTCGTCCCTCTTTCTCGGAGCCAGTGCGCTCCTCTTTCGGCCTCTCTTTTCCCTCTCTGTTCCAATCTCGGCTCTCTCTCAGCTTCCCCCTTTCTATTTAACTACTTCTCTCTTTCTTTTACACGCACACGTTGTATTATTATTATTATTATTATTTTTATTATTATTATTATTATTGTTATTATTATTATTATTATTATTATTATTATCATCGTCATTATTATTATTAATAATCATCGAGTAAAACGGTAGAGGAAACAAATCACTGAGGTAAACGTACGAGAATGATGGAAGCAAGAGACACCAATGTATCCTTTTGCCTACGGCCAGACATAACGTGTTACGTTAATGCTCTGAGGAAGTCTGCTAGTAGTCTGGTAGACTATGGTAATATGAACGTGAAATTGGTCCGATCCGAAAAGAGAGATCGAACTGGTGGATCCTTAGCAAGCTAGCTAGCTAGCTAGCTAGTTTTCACGATTAAACGTGCTTAAAGATCGCCCATGGAAGAACTATTCAGGTATTATTTTAAATTGAATAACTTTGTTTAGATCGAATAAAAAATTCTGAAATTCTGTGTAACTATGAAGCAATTAATCCGCTACATGAAATATATCAAGAACATAGAAAATAAGTTTTTTTTCTTTCTTTCTTTAAATGATTTTTACGATCGTGTTAAAATGATGAATTTTGCGATGTAATTCAATGATATTATAGCGACTTTATTAATATTCAAAAGAAATGTAACTCGTTATAGGACTTGATGATATTTACAATATACACATAAAATAATCAGATTTACGTAATCCATACATTTGTTTTTCCTCAAAAGCTTTTGATAAGAAATTGTATAAAGAAGGATTTAATACTTTTTATTATTGCTAAAAGAAAAAAAAAGAAAAACAATTTCTTTTGTCAATTCTTCATACACTTCACACACATTAAACACATTAATTACTTTATACTTATATAATTATCTAGTTAACAAAAAGAAAAGAGAAAAAGAAAAAAAGAAAAAAAGAAAAAAAATAAAGAAACGAAAAAAAAATGTATTCGATTTAAAAAAGTAAAATATTTCTATGGGTCATAATATATCAGGTGATTTATAATACGAGCTCGATGACCCCGTGGTGCGTTTGCACCGATCACTATGTCAGTTATATATCTCCTCGCGTACTTTTCTTCTACGAGTTTCGTCGAACGTTCGAGCACCGTTCGTGCCACACAATCTCTCTCTCTCTTTCTCTATCTCTTTCTCTTTCTCTCTCTCTCTCTCTCTCTCTCTCTCTCTCTCTCTCTCTCTCTCCTTCCTTTCGCTGATCCTTTCGCAAAGAAAATCGAGGAGAAAGATCATCGATCCTGCTTGCTTGTTTTTTTTTTTTATCTTTTATATCGCCGCTAAACAGAAACCGATCATAAGCAGGGGTTTAGCGTGTTATCGTTAATGGGCGCGCAAGGTGGCGCCTGTAGCTCGAGGGGTCGAGGGAGTGAAGATGATGATGATGATGATGATGATGATGATGATGATGATGATGATGATGATGATGATGATGATGATGATGATGATAAAGAAGAAGAAGAAGAAGAAGTATATAAGAGAAGAAGTAAAAGAAGAGGAAGAAGAAGAAGAAGAAAAATAATATAAGAGGAGAAATAGAAGAAGAAGAATATAAGAGAAGAAGAAGAAGAAGAAGAAGAAGAGAAAAGAGGTCGATCGCGTGAGTTTTGTAGCTCGCGGTGAAACTACTAAAAATACACGGAACTACGCGCTCGCGCGGACTTTTAGAAGCCGAACGGACGAGTCTATCGAGCTGCGAGCGAGAGCGTTTCGTCTTCCTCTTTCTCATAGCAGTGAGGAGAGTAATTTATGCTAAACGTTTCGCGTCGTGGAAGTCGCGCATCGTCGTGCGCCGAGTCAGCCATTCATTCGGCGTCCTTCTCCGCTCCTTCTTCTCTCCCGGACGCGAATCACGCAGCCTTTTCGGCCGTGGGACCACGATTCTTCGTCTCTCTCTTTCTCTTTCCCTTTGGGCCCACCTTCTCTAGTCGTACTCTCTCTCTCTCTCTCTCTTTCTTTCTCTCGTTCTTCCTTTCTTTCTTTCTCTTTCTCTCTTTCTCCGTCCCACACTCGGTTGACACCGCATCCTCTCTCTCTCTCTCTCTCTCTCTCTCTTTTTCTTTTATTCTCCTTTGAAGCAAACGCACGTTCCGCGAACATCATACCGTGTTGTACATACGCACATAGCGTTACTTCGAGAAAGAGACAGAGAAAGGGATAGAGAAAAAAAGGCATAAGGAAAGAGTAAAAATGTGCAAACTCACGAGGCTCTCGCTTTCGAGTTTCTCTCCGTTTTCTAAAAATACCGTATTTCTTTGAATCGTTTGGCTGCCGCACAGAGAGAGAGAAAGAGAGAGAGAGAGAGAGAGAGAGAGAAAGGCGTAAAAAAGCGCAAAGAGTACACGCACACCTGAATACGAGTTAGGAACGGATCGTGTATGCGATTCTTGTCGAGGCGAGGCAAACGTACGACGACGTGACCGATTAAAATGAGTACTCACCGGACTCTTCGAATTTATCGGAACTACTTACGCAAGATTTTCTTATTACCGTCTCATATCTTGTCATTTTTATCATTTATTTGGAATATTATAATCAATGGTTCAGATTCAATTTGCGATTTCATTTTCTATTTGATTTGAAGATACGATTTATTATGTATCTTACTTTCTTTTCTTTCTTCCTTCCTTTCTTTCTTTTTTTTTTTTTTTTTTTTTTTTTTGATACTTTCATACGGAACGCGCGTTCTGTCACTTCAGGCTCGACATAACAGACTCGTAACGCCAAGCGATATATAAACGCGCCCGAAGGAGGACAGAGAGTATAGAGGAAGACGGAAAAGTAGACTTGTGCAAGACGAAGAGGGCGATAGAAAGAGACTGGCTGGTGTGTGGCGTGCGAGTGCGCGCAGGGGGCGCCATATGGGTTAGTAAAATTAACTCCGTTCGCAAGAGAGGCACGGCGATGAGATGGAAAGGAAGAGAAGAGAGAAAAAGAGAGACATATATATATATATATATATATATATATATATATATATATATATACATATATATAAAGAGAGAGAGAAAGAGAGAGAAAGAGAAAAAGAGAGAGGTGGGGCAAACACGAGGGACGTATAGAAGCACAAAAGGCCTAGCCATCTGCCAGTGGCACACTGTGCACTACCAGATAGTCTGAGCTATGTGAGAAGTGCTGATAGGATCAAAGTATTAATCCTAGGATGCATAATGTTAGCTACCTTATATATATATATACTCGTGATTCCTTGCTAGTATCTAAATGTTAAAGAAATCTACAACGCATAGTCATCATACATTTGATCTGTCTTCCAAATATACAGGGTGTTCAAGAAAGAAAAAAAAAGTCATTTTATATTTATATTATAGATAGAACAGACTATATTCAGTAAAAAAAAAAAAAAGAAAAAAAAAGAAAAAAAGAAAAAAAGAAAAAGAAACCTATATTAACGAAGATCGCAAGATTAGTTATTTATGAGATATAAACATTTTGTCATCAATTGGCAATTGAGGATTTGATGATTACATGATTAAACTTAAGATTAAGTGATTACAGGTTTACGTTAAGTATTCCGCAGAAAATGTCTAGATATTATTCTAATGAAGAAATGACAGATATACATTTTATGTATGATCGTGCTAATATGAAAGTATTAAAGTTAGATAACGTTTTTACATGAACAAATTTCCTGATCGAAGAGTTCTCACTAATACACTTTTCGAAAATATTCATTAGGCTCATATTGAACTCATCGTCAAGACTCTGGCATGTCTAAATCTGTATTAACGTTCGATATGGAGAATCGAGTTTTAAGGATAATACATAGAAGAAAATTCCGAAACTAGCATAAGAAGGATACCCGATGCCGTAAGAATCGATACTACTGTCTGAAGAATGCTTCGTGGGAAATTACTCTACCCATACCATATTCAACTCACTCTACCGGACTATCAAGCAAGAATATATTTTTTATAGTAGCTACTCGTAAAATGTTCTTCAAATCTAAATTTCGTATCTTGTTATTTATTAATGAAGCTACATTTATATGAAATGAAATAACAAATTTATCATGTATAGAAAGTAAAAACTCACGCATTAATTCAAACAAACCACCGTAACAGATTTTCGTTAGATGTTTGGATGGGCAATATTCGAGATCATCTCATTGACTCTGTAATACTCTAAAATCAACTTTTAGGCGTAGCTTATCACAATTTCTTGGTAAATATCGGACAATCATGATGATAACATACTAAAATGTTTATATCTCAAAAACGATTGAACTTTCGACTTAGGTTTTTTTAACGTAGTATGATGTGCCCTATTTATCATATAAATATGGGATGTCGTTTTCTGAACATCCCGTAGATGTTAATTTGTTATTAATTGTTATTAATTGAATTTATTTATTATGAATTCTAGTGAATTTTGTCAAGCACGAATTTAAATTCGTTAAAGTCAATAGTCATATATCGTAGGGTCAGGGATACCCAAACCGGTGGGCCCTATAACGAACAACTTCCTCCATCATAACGATCATAACTCTGTGTATGGCACCATTCAACGCAGTCTTTCAAGTTACATTTCAATGCTCCCTGATCGTACTAACGTGACAATTATCCCGAATGTAATCTGTTATTATGGCAAATTACAGTAAATAACTAGTTTCTTTCGAAAACAAGAGAAACGGGGAATAAAAAATAGGGAACGGTTAAAAGGGAAGACAAATGTTATCGTTCTTGTTGTTTTTTTCTTTTTTTCATTGAATGATTTTCATCTGGCATCGTTTCATTTTTATTTGTTTTTTTTTTGTTTAATACGATCGACTTGAGTATACGAATACGATGACAGCTAATATAAATATAAAAATGACAGCTAATATAAATAATAAAATGATGCTAATAGCGTTTGAAAATAAGATAAATCTAAATAAATACTCAATAACTTACCGGCCACGTGAACTCGAACGGAAATCTGATGGGATTAGTGAAACTGGGCAAGGCGACATTTGGACTAAGATTAACAATATTCTCGCCGAGTACAGGTGTAACAACATCTCCATAAGTGCACGGTGTTGTTGTGTCGATCTTCACTTGGTATTGCTTCAGACATACCCTAAACCTGGTCTTGCAAACACCTGAACATTCGCCTGTCCTTGAGGTAGTGCCTGAACAGCACTTACCCAGACTATCCTTTCCGTATTCGTTGACGAACGACTTTAACCTTAGCTCGAACACCCCCGAAGCGTTAACCTGAAAGAAAAAAAAAACCAAATTCGTTCATTTTATCATTTAAAATATCGCAAAGTTTATTATTGATTCATCGATTTGCTCAACTAAGACGCAATTCCCGTATGTTTTAACAAGAATCATAAAATTTTTAATGTATAACTTTCGAGTCAAAATTCGATGAAAGAAGAAGAAGAAAAAAAAGAAAAAGGGGAGACAACATCTGTCGGCGAAACATGGCTCGCTTGTGGTCCCATCGAAACGACAGAACCCACGACGTGGGGTCGAGACGACATAGTCGCGAAGAAGGCACGAGACACCGAAGGTCTCGAGGCTCGAAGCACGCGCGTGTTTTTGCGCACGCGTATGGCGTCTGCCGAGAGCAAGTGCGCGCGCGCAACCGCGTCTCCCAGGAAGCAGAGAGTGTAAGGAGAGAAAGAGAGAGAAAGAGAGAGAGAGAGAAAAAGAGAGAGAGAGGGCCGTTACAGAGTTCTGCGTTAAAGAGAGGAAAAAAAGTGCCTTTTCGGAGCGTGTACGCACGCGCGCATGGTGCTCTCGCGAGTGGGCGGTTTCGTGTAAATAAAAAAAAAAATTGAAAAAAATTAAAAAAAAGACAGAGAAAGAGAGAGAAGAGGGAAGATGTGGCCCCGTAAATATATTAACACGCGAGACCGCGCTATCTCCCTCCTCTAACGAATTAATGGCGAACCTTCCACGGTATGTAAACGATCAAGGGACCGGTCTCTTCTTCTTCTCCTTCTTCTTCTTCTTCTTCTTCGTCTTCGTCTAAGTTTTTCCTCTTCTTACATTTTATGTTGGTTTATACACCCTTCGGGACATTCATTAAACCCAGCAGGTTTAACAAATTTGATTCGTAAAAAGAAAAAAAAGGATAGTCTTTTACCGAATAGGAAACACGACTTTGTGCCAAGTATTACGGAAGAAGACGGAAATAGAGTAGTATGCAGTGGTTGTTACAAAGCGATAGGCGCGATACACACGCCTTTCGACTATTTGAACTTGCAAAGAGGTCGCTCTGAACGGTCACGTGCTCGATGCACGTCCGCACCTACTCGTCGAAAGAACGAACTAGCATTCCCACGAGACACCTTCCCACCCTCGACTACGTCATCTCGGAATTCTAAAAAAAATATTAAAATGCCTTCCTATATTATTTTTAAAATCATCGATCGTAGGAGGAACTAATGAAGATTTCTTTCGATTTATAGATAAAAATGATACTTGTTGCGTAAGTGCAATTCATACGGCCTAAAATATTTAAATAAAACTATCACTGAAAAAGATGGAGGAAAAAGTCAATTTCTTTTCATTAATATCTCCCGATGACTCTCTCACCGCTTCGAAATCTTTCCTACGATGACGTACGTGACGTCAATGTTAAATGAATGAAAAAAAAAAAAAAATAACATGCCTGTATTTCATAGCTCGTATTTCTTGGAAACGTCCTTACTAAGGCAAATGTAATCTCATCGGAAGAGGGGTTGTAGACGCGCCGGGAAGATATCTCTCGATGAGAAATTCTCATTTTTGGCGCGCTGGAAGGTTATTTAAGGAACGAGAATGGCCGCCGTTGCGTATTTTCGGAACGCACCGCCGGTATGTTTCGTCACAAAATCATTTCAAAGGACGTGCATCTTTTTATTAATGGTATCTCGCAGTTGCTCAAAAAGCGGCATCTTTCAAACAAAGAAAAGCGCGTTCGAACCTTTGAACTCCGATACTACCTTCGATGAAGGTCAAACGGAAGAGACGATCATCATTGGTGTAGCGTGCGAGGCTTGGTCTCTTCTAACCAGCAGAGAAGCTGCTTGCGCCTGGAACGGTCTCGAAGAGGGGGAGGAGAGGCTAGACACTTCTAAAAGAGTGGATCCAGATTTAGAGTTGCATGCAGCGTATCTCGATACTTTTTCCCCCGCCTCTTGCCGGCGCACGGCAAGAGAAACAGAGATAGAGATAGAGAGAGAGAGAGAGAGAGAGAGAGAGAGAGAGAGAGAAAGAGAGAGAGTCAAGAAAAAGAGAGAAGAGAAAAGTAGAAGAAGAGAAAATCGAGAAGAAACATCTCCCAGGAAGAATAAGCTTGTTGCGATCCAGCTGGCCATATAAAAGAAGAAAAGAAGAAGGGATCCTCGTGCGTAACGCGAAATAAAGTTCGAGGAATCTCCTCTTAAGAAAAAGAGATAACCTAATCCTCATCGACGTTCCGCGATAGAACTTCAAAGGGAAGGACACGCATGGCTGCTCTCTCATCGGAGAAACGAACGTAATCAATTTATTTATTTATTCTAGCCCGTGTGTTTACATCGCCATTCACTAACCGTATGTTTACTGTGGCTTCGATCGAGTGTTTCTCTAATGCAAAGAGTTTCTGTGTCTGTGGTAAAGGGCGTCTAGAGCAAAACGGCATACTCATTCTAAGGATATATAATAATACTAGGGTAGTAAATGCGTGTATACATAAATTTAACTTACCGCACGGGGTGACGGTAGAAGAACGACGGCGACCGTCCACACTAACATCGTGGTCCACATGTTTTGGCTAATCGAAGCCACCGAATGTTTACGCGTCTCTCGTGCGCGTGGACCACCGTGGTGATTCGTCTTTTGTCCGACTTACTGTCGGCGTTATCTTCTTCCGGTAATAGCTTCGCGAGGCTGCATAGCCACCGATAACGTTCCTTGCTCTAACGTTTCTGCTGCTGCTGCTGCTGTTGCTGCTGTTGCTGCTGCTGCTGCTGCTGCTGCTGCTGCTGCTGTTGTTCCTCCTCCTCCTCCTCCTCCTCTTATATATACGTATACACCGCCCGGTATTCGCGAACTCGCGAAGGCTGGCGGCGACTTGCCGTTCGCGGCACTTTTCACTTACTCTTCTTATTAATTTCCGAAAACCAAAGTATCGTAGAATTTTTAATATGCTTTCTAGGGAATCGCCTTATTACTCCCCTTTTTTTTCCTTTTCCTTTTTTTTTTCTTTTTATTTTTTCTTTCTTATTTCGAACACTCGATCACTTCACACTCCCCCGACGATATATAACACTTTATATTCCATTTATTCCTCTAGCTTACTGTAGAGACAGAGGGAGAGAGAGAGAGAGAAAGAATGAGAGACGCGATCCAAAACACACATATGTAATATGTATAGATATATAGATATAGACGGAGATAAAGGAAGGACGACGCCTCGACAAGAGGGGGGAGGGTCAAAGCAGGAAAGAAGGGGGTCTCTTCGATGTCTCCTCCTCGCTGTTGCGTCGTTCCCACGCTGAGAAAGATAGCGAGAGAAGAAAGAGGTCCTCAACGCGATTGTTCGGAGCTCGTAACGCAGTAGCAGTAGTAGCACAGGGCACTACGTCGGCCACGAAAGATTGATGGATAATAATAATAATAAGAAGAAGAAGAAGAAGAAGAAAAAGAAGAAGAAAAAGAAACAGCACAAAGAGGACGACGATTCGCAACGAGCATACTTTGTTGCAGAGATATACGCGATTAGCAGCACCGGGGGAAGAGAGAGAGAGAGAAAAAAGGGTCACACGTTCTTCGACACTCTCCTCCGCGCCAACCGTCGCAACACAACGACGAGTCGCCGTGCACTGACTCGTCGTACTGCTTTGCCGCACTGCCTCGCACACACTACTGACACGAGCCGCCGAGTATGCCCTCCTTGCGGCAGGAAGAGCAAGAGAGAGAAAGAGAGAGAGAGAGAGAGAGAGGAGGGCGAGTAGTGGTGGCGATGGTGGGGAGAGCCAGAGAAGGCCCAGGAACGAAGAGAAGGGTGCGTTGTCGCTGGTAGGGCAGGACTAGCAAGACCAAGCTGGAGGTGGAGCGTTGGCAAGAGGGAGAGAGAAAAGCTCCTGCTTTCTCGCTCCTGGCGGGACTTCCAAGAGGGAGGAATGACTTTTCGTGGGAGGCGAAAGAGTGAGCGAGCGAGTAAGAGAAAGAGAGAGAGAAAGAGAGAAAGAGAGAAAGAGAGAGAGAGAGAGAGAGAGAGAGAAAAAAGAGGAGAGGAGAGAAGACGAGTCACGAAAGTCGACTCTTCGAGAACCAAGTACCACCGGATTCACCGGCGAGAAACGTGCCCTCCTCTTTACACTCGTTATTTTCCTCTATCGCGTGAAAGTAACTTCTTCTACTTCTTCCTCTTCTTATTCTTCGTACGCTCGTATCCTTATCCTTTCGTTAGCTGAGAAGACGGTATTCCCTCTTCTCGGCTCCTCTCGTAATATCTCAAAAAAAATATTTGCGTCAGCGCCACACAACGGAGAGAACGGAAAGCACCCTGACATTGACTAAACGAAGACTCTCCGGGCACACACTGTATCCGATTGGGACGCCGGCAGATGGCGAAGTTGATCCACCGACGAGCCGCGAGATTGTATGTGCGCGTGCGTGTACGTATCGCGCGCGAAACTCACTACTCTTTTGAGATTACTCGCCGATAATTTTCGCTATTCTATTCTCTTTCGTTTTTCTTTTTATTATCGTTTGTCTTGCGTAAATAAACGCGTACTTTTATTCCCGTTCGTGACAAAAACACCGTCCGTCTGTCGTCCATAAACAACCCTCGGTGCGCGTGCTCCTCGGGTTTTCTACGAAGGACGAACGCGTACGCGAGCGTGACAAGAGCGAGTTCAACCCTCGACTGGAGGCAGTAAGCCGGGAGCACCCCTACTTATAATTGTGGTCCCGCCGGCTCCCCGTAGAGAGGGGTTGCGTGGCAGAACGCGCGCGCTAGAGGGGTGACGGGCACACGGAGCGGCTGCGTCAGTGGCAGAGTGCGACCGTAGGGACTCTGGCCGGTGCGCAGAGCGAGAGGGGAGAGAAAGAAGGCAGCTGCAGGCCGGCTGCACGCGCCCACCCCCACCACCATGCCACGATCTACCTCCACCGCGCGACACCCCGGCCACCTCGCCCTTTTTCCCTCCCTCTACCTTTCTCTCCTCCCTATGCTTACTACCAGACGTACCCCATACCTTTCTCTCTCTTTCTCTCCCCTTCTCTCTCCCTTTCTCTCTCCCTTTCTCTCTCTCTCTCTCTCTCTCTCTCTCTCTGGACCCGTTGGCACGCGCCGCGTCCTACACTTCGTGACGTCACACTCCCCTCCTTTTTTCAGCGAATTACGCTTCTTACGCGAAGCGAGACTCGCGACGATGCGTGAAATCGCTCGACCCTCCTCTCTGATTCGACTAATCTTTCCGATTCACCTCGCACATTCTATTCTTACCCCTTTTTTTAACCCTCACTCGAAAAGTAGCTTTAATTATACTTCGTATTGTCTCAATTTCGCGAGCTCGCATGGTATCTGAAGTTTTCTACGATCGGAATGAAATATGAAAAGATTCCTATTCTCTCTCTCTTTTTCTCTTACTCTCTCTCTCTTTCTCTCTTACTCTCTTTCTCTCTTACTCTCTCTCTCTCTCTCTCTCTTTCTCTCTTACTCTCTCTCTCTCTCTCTCTTTCTCTTTCTCTCTTACTCTCTCTCTCTCTCTCTCTTTCTCTCTCTTTCTGTTTGTGACGTCATATTTATCAAATAGGGGTGCGGTGAACCCTAACGTGTTCCATACGCGCCAGTGTTCGGGGGTGACAGATTATTACGGTGCACATACTGCCTCCCGCTCAAGGTATTGTACTCGGAATATAATGCCCTGGACCTGTCTCGAGCACATATCGATGCGATCTATTGTTCACCAAAACGAATCGCACTTTTTGCTCTTTCTCCCCAGTGTTAGCTTTTACAAGCTACCCCCGCCATAAACTTCGCCAAGTGTCGCTTTACGTCTCCACTGTAACGAGACGGGAGAGCGTCGATTCGATTTTAAATACATGGTAACGCACGTAATTCAATGCTGAGTCGTTATCGATCGTTAACGATCATCCACTTTGTAAAAATAATAAAGAACGGAAACAACAGTCAGTGTCTACGCGATTATATTTACTCAACGATAAAGAATAAGAAATTGTGCAGGAATAACGATGCGACTTGTAAGAAATCACGGTTGCGTCCGTTATACCTGGTAAATAACGCCAGGTTCCGAAATGATAAGGTATCGTAAAGTAGAATGAAGCCTTTGTCGTATCGTTCGTCGCGAGAAAGAAGCGGTGCCTCCACGGAGCCCGTAGGTGTATGCTATACTTCCGGTCACGAGTGGTTCAACAGGTCAAACCAACGGGGGAGCCAGATGGAACCACTTCCGGCCTCTTTACCTTCGCCGCCACATCGAGCTCTCTCTCTCTCTCTTTCTTTAACTTCAACCCCTCACTCTTTATGTCTTCTTCACTGCGTCACTTGACTCCATCCTTCTTGCATGCAGGAGCACGGTAATGCACGCACATGTAACCTGTACAAGTAAAGACCTAAACCTTCTTCTTTCCTTACGTATGAGTACGAGCGCGTGCATTTACACATATATTTATATATATGTATATATATATATATATATATATATATATATTTATATATATTTATATATATATGTGTATCATATATGTTGATGTACGTATACACTGGCAGTAAACGTAGTTACGTTCTACCGTAACTGGCGCACACACAACACGTGGATCCGTCACGCGACTCCCTTCGTTCTACGTTCGTTCCTTCCTTCCTCGGTCTTTCATTCATACGGCCGATTGCGAATACATACATACATACATATGGGCTTGTTGTGTTACGAGTGAGATCGCGAACATACGAGCTCTCTTTGCCGTATGACTGTATACACTATATATGTATGTACTTGGCTGCACGAGACTCAATGAATCGCCCAAGAGCCAAGTTAAACTGTCGTTACGAATTAGGATTTCGTTCATACATAAGTGAAAACTCAAGATTATCCAAGAAAACTCGCCAACAAATTGTCTATTTTTAATGTTCAAAAAATATATATATATACATAATTTATTTTCAACTTAGAGAACATTTATTATAACCGAGTCACATTTTTCATTATCATTCATCGATCATTTCAGTTTGTTGATTAATGTTACTCAAATTTATGTATTTTCACATGATTTTACATTATTTGTTAAATTCTTTACGTTATATTCAATGTTTCCCTGTCTTTTATCACTTCATAATTTACTAATAATATATAAATACTCTGTCAGTTCATAAATCTTGTAGAAGACGAATCTTTTCTCTTACGAAACTTCTTCCGCCTGTGTATGCCAATTTATTTATAAATAATCCTTCTAAATTATTATACATAATTTGTTCCATTCAGAATTGTTAAATGAATGAAGAAAATTATATTCTTCGCATCTAATTTACAATTAATTCACAAACATTATAGATAAATCAATATCAACAATATTCTAATTTACGATAATCGTAAAGAAAAAGGAAAAAACGAGACAAATATAAACTTCTGATGAATATTGTTCCTATTCTCAAGTAATTGAAATCTTGGCGCCAAAAAAAAAACAATCAAATTTGTACTTCTTCCATGAAGATTTTCTTTCTTCGTTTTAAACGTTGTTTCAATATTGACGCCAAGAGATTAAAAAGCGTGAACAACGATCAAGGGCAGACGGGACAGGGGTAAATCTCGAATCTCAAATCTCGTACCACCGTGGGAAATGTGAGTACACTTTCTTTAACAGAAAGCACCAAGAAACGTAGGATGCATTCGTATATCGGCACGCTTGAAGGCGTCGCTCGGAATAATAAACTTGAACACGTTGTGATTCATCGAAGTCGCATTGTTTCTCGAAAACGTGATTCCGTGAATATAGTACTTCAGTTATCGTCTGCTTTTTAGAGATCGTATTACAGGTATATATACTGGGTGTAATTAAATGATCTGTCAACAAACTTCGTAAATAAGTTATAGGAACGTGAACTAGTAGTAAAATATTCTATGAAGCATGGAAAACGTTTGCTTTTGGAGTTATGACGATTCGAAATTTTCCTACAATGGTCGGCAAAAATTATCACGTTAAATAGCTTAGCATCTTTCTAAATCCCTTGTGATTTTTTCTATTTTCCTTTAACCTGCATTCCTTACTAAGAAAAAAAAAAAGAAAAAGAAAAAACAATTTATAACTTCTATGCAATTTGATGTGATAATTTTTCCAGCCATTGCAGAAAAACTCAAATGTTTCCGTTCCTCCTTCTCAACTCCATGTTCATAGAATATTTTTTACTTGTTTAGGTCTCTAGAACTTATTTCCAAAGTTTGTATAGATTATTCAGTTACACCCTGTATACATATACATATGCAGACATATATATACACATACAATACAGTATTGTTAAATGTATATACGTATATATAAAAGACTTAAAAATCGATTAATATAATTCGATCGATATTGATCGGAATGATAAATATAGATCGTAGAGAATATACGGATAAAAAATCGAAGTTATGGGGAATACGTCGATGGTGGGTCAGAGAAGAAGCGGGTCCACTTTGTGGCTCTGTTCGATAGTGGGGGATACGGCACGCGTGCCACGCGCCCGAACTTTCCCGAATGTTAGCGAATTCGAACGAAGCTCTCGATACGAACGATAATAATCTCTCTGGAGTGACCCCGGCGGGTATACTCCCCACCACAACCCCTCGGTCCCAACACGATACGTATCGAGTGTTGCAGCTGCTGTTTCTCCCGGCCAAAGCGGACCTCCTTTCTTTCCTTCTTCCTTCCGTTCTTTAACTTCTCTTCCTTCCATCTTCCTTTCTTTCTTTCCGAGTCTCTCCATCCTGTTTATCTCGCTTACGTTCTCTTGGTCCTTTCCCATTAACTTCCTAAACAAATATTAAAATGTTAGATATACTTGGAGCTCTGTCGAAACTCGCCCACAGACCGGTCGGATGAAATTAAAAAAAAAAGTGCAGATTTTTTTAATTATTATTATACTTTTTCATTATTTTTTTTAGGTTTCTAAAATTACAAATGATTATTATGGGTCGAACGTTGTTATTATATCGTGTCTGGCAATACCCTCTAGCTCGTCCTTTTCATCTAAAAATTCTCTTTCAAATTTTTCTCAAAAATGGAAGATGTGCGCTCGGTCGCATCTCCCGGTTGAAAAAATAACAATGCACCTAAACCCAGCAGTATTCCCAGATACGGCATACTGAAATAGAAAAAGCTCACATTTCCATTTACTACGCCCAGAGCTCCTGGGAGTGTATTACCTGCAGTACCTATTCGCTTAAAGCTAGCAAGATGAAAGTAATCGAAAAGCAGACGGATGGAATTCTTTGAAGAAGAAGAAGAAGAAGAAGAAGAAGAAGAAGAAGAAGGAGAAGAAGAAGAAGAAGAAGCAGCAGTAACAGCAGCAGCCGCATCTGTTCCTCGCTTTTGGTCTGTCGGAAGACGCGCGGGAGTGAAACGAAGAACGCAGAAAAGGAAGGGAGGTAAAAGGGTTATATCTCTTAGTTGGGAAAGGAAAGGGTTAGAAGATAAGGGGAGAAGAAAGGGGACCAGAAGGTTCAATGGGATCTTTGAAAAAAGTTCTTCCGTCCCTCGTCAATTTGTCGTCTTTGATTTATAACTGACAAAAGAAAATTTTCAACAAAATTTTAACCGAACAATCTTTTCAAAACTTTCGAAACCTCAAAAAAAATTCATTTTTCTTTTCATGTATATATACATATATATAAAAGAAAGAAAAA